TTGGTTGACAATAGTTTTGAGTTCCATATGTCGTTTAATTGTAGGAATGTGGCCCTTGCTTTGCTAATCCTCGCATTTACGTCTGCATCCTATCCTTCTTCTTTATCGATAATGCTTCCCAGATACGTGAGATATTCCATATCTTCCTGATCTTCTCCATCAAGTGTGATCGAGTTGGTGTTTTCACTGTTGTATTTGAGGATCTTGCTTTTTTCTTTGTATATGTTGAAGCCTACTGGAGCAAAGACTGTTGCTACACTAGTTGTCTTCATTTGCATTTGTTGATGTGTATGGGATAAAAGGGCGAGGTCATCTGCGAAGTTCAACTCTTCTGATTGATTACGAGCTGTCCATTGTATTCCGTGCTTTCCCATCTTATGTCGAAGTCTTCATAATTCAGTCGATCAACTCAGTGTAGTATTTGCTTTAATTTCAGAAGGATATTTTATTCAAGATTGAATTAGATTCAGCATGAGATTTTGTTATAATTTCATATCTGTATTTTCTTCCTAATCAACAATCAAAATGAGTGTACAAATCAATATATAAATGAGTGTATTTTCGACTAGGGTCGTTGTGTTTTTGAAGTGATTAAATATGCATTTGGACTAGTGTTCTGTGTTCGTACTTAGTATCTTGGGAATAGTAATAGTTCTTTGTTTTCAAGTATATGTAATAGGTGATGCGGATATAACATTTACTGATCACTGGTAACTATTTTTAAGGTTTTCTTGTTTAGAAACAAATTGAACTCATATAAAGTTTAATAGTTGAATTCATGAGTCGATTAAAGTTAGACTATCACGGAAAACCTGGAAGCACTGGGCGGCCATTTCGTTCTAGTATAAAGTTGTCAAAGACTAATCTGAATTTACCTTGCATTCATAGAAATGTCCACTCGATTCTGATTAATAGAAATTAATCAGGTTAGTGTGTAACGTTTAAACAACTGAGTTGAAACGAAATGGCCAACATTTCTAACTTCAATCGATCTACTATATTCAATTATCCCAAAGAGCTCCATGCTAAAACGAAACATACGATAAGTGAACCCCAATTTGGCGAGACTCTAATTTAGGGACGACTTTTGAACGAATCTTAAATGACCTTGACAATTATTAGTCAATCGGAAGACAGTTAGTACAAAGTGAAAAAATATTATGAGGAAGTAATGAATTACAGTGCATATTCTTCTTTTACATGATTTAAAAACTTATTAAGGTTTGATAAAGGTACAGAAGTTCTGAATTCATAATGCATATGGTATAGAAACTCGTCCATAGGGTTAGGGCTAGAGTTAGGGTTAGGGTGCTAACATACGATCGGTTTACAACGGATTTTAGAGAAGAGGTGTTTATTGAGAGACTACAACCCTAACCCTATGGACGAGTTTCTTTACCATATGCATTATGAATTCAGAACTTCTGAACCTTTATCAAACTTTAATAAGTTTTTAAATCATGTAAAAGAAGAATATCCACTGTAATTCATTACTTCCTTATAATATTTTTTCACTTTGTACTAACTGTTTTCTGATTGGCTAGTATTTGAAATTGCTCAAACCCTTCTGATTGGCTCGTCCCTAAATTAGAGTCTCGCCGTCCCATCTGTTGTAACCTCTCATTGATCACCTTCTCTCTAAAATCCTCTGTGAACCAATCGTATGTTAGCATCGCGTGTTGAACTTGGCTCCGTGACCTTGAAATCGCTCAAACGCTTCTGATTGGCTCGTCCCTAAATTAGACTCTCGCCTCCAATTTTTAGTTGCTATTTAAAATCTCAGTAATATATAGTGCATGAATGGGTGGCGTTTACAGTAGGTTAACATTTATGTAGTGCAAGCTTTTGAATAACAATTTTGTGAATAACGTCTATGTCAAAGACTTATTTAAAGAATGGCTCTGAATGGTTGAACAGGAATATTCTTATTTCTGTAATTTATACTACTAAATGACCACAGTTAAATAACCATTTAAGATCAGGAAGTACTGGAAAGTTGTCTCACCCTCCTGAATAGTGAGTATCAGTCACTCTATTCATGCTTCAGGTCTCTTGAACAACCATAACCAGAGGAATTAATCAATGTTCAGTATGAGACATCTGCCCAACAATGGTATTAAAAAAACAGTTACTCAATATCGCGTATTGTTGTAAACAGTTAGATATCTGTTTAGAAGTCTAAAAGTTAAGCATCCTTTGCGTGACCTGAATATTCTGGGTATGATCCCTGGTGAAGTCATGTTTATACACTTCTCAAGAAACCCATATCATTTAAAATACCTCCCTATTTTTAATATTTCTCAAGCTAGATCGACATCAGCTACCATTTTCACAAATATCTTACAGTGCAAATTGTCTTGTCTGATAAGTTTAATGCATACGAATTTTCATCATGAATTCATGTGTGTATAAATGTGAAGTAAACAGTTTGGGAAATGATATCGAAACTTCTATTTACTTTTGTGAGCTTTGACAACAAATATTATGACATTCATTTAAGTAACTGCAAACCAGTCTCATATTTCCTTTCTTCATATAGATGTTTAGGACAACAATTGCATAATATTCTCTTGGTATATGTGCACCCTGTGTGGGTTGTCTCGATGTTCTTAGTAAGTCGCTACTAATTTTTAAGCAGAGGTGAATGATGGCTGATAGTGGAATCGAGGACGTGAGTTTCGTTTTATTTCGGATTCGTCGCCTGAATGTTTACCGTGGGATCTAGTACTATTTGCTTCAAATGCCATCGAGTTATCCAGATAGCTACTAAGTCCATCATTGTGAATTACTGGGAATATCGAGGCAGTCCTCACATTGTGCACATATGTCAATAAGAGACTGATCAATTGCAGCCCTGAACATCAATGAGAAGATCAAAGAAACTAATATATATGAATTAAAGTTAAAAATCCCCCCATTACACAAGTCAGTAGCTATCTGGACTCAGTAACTAGGTGGATGGTGCTGTGACATTTGAACCGAAATATACTGGGTTCGAGTCCCAGAGTGAACATACACTGAGTCTCACTACTAGCCACTATCCATCTCCGCTTGAAAATTCATTTGTCAATCTAGACCACAGTAGAATCAAACGTATTCCATCAGGTTTATTTTAAATTAATGATGGACAGTCAATATAAAGATACGATAGACAGGTTTTAGACAGGTTGACACAAAGAAATTAGATTTATTTGGGATTTTAAAGGAATCAGATCATTCGTATACATAATAGGACCACATGGTGCTTACTAATCACATGAACGTAAGTAATCGAGCTCTAGCTTTTAATCAAAAAAACAAACATCAGTCATCAACAATATACCGATACGATAACATAATGAAACCATGTGAAATAGTAGATTTACATTATAAAATAAAGTTTTATGTGTGCGATTTATCTAAATGTGTTTATAATAAACTAATTACAGCTTATACTGGCTGAATACGTTAGATACTGAATAAGTTAACTTATCGAACATTTCAGAAGTTTGAGCTGCTTCAAGTTAACTGAATGACAATCAATCATATTACTTTAGATTGTAAGACATAGATAAGTGAATATGATGGTAACACAGATGGCAATAAATGATTCTCTCACTATTTTGTAAATTGTCTAAATTCAGACTAATACATTAGTGTATTCTGATTGGTTGAGTTCAAACGTGCAGTGACTCAGCTACACTTGACCATCCTCATTTCAATATCGTATGCTGTCCAAAGAGTGAGTAGTCTGCAAAGTCTTAGCAGCAGCTACCCAGTACTTATTCATATTAGTTCATGATAAAACCTGTCTTTAAGTAGGAATCGTATTCTATCAATCCTTCAATTCTATGCAACAAAACATTCAACTTTAAAATCTATTTAAAAACTATCCAAAACATTGACCAGACAACAACATTTCACTCAACAGTCTTATTCTACATTTTCATAGAGGAGGACAAATGAAATCCAATTGATTTTGGAAAGTATGATTTTGTTTTATTTCATCAAACCGCGTCAGTTGTGAGATAGTAAGTCACTGATGACAATGGTGGATGTATCGCTCAATTTCGTGGATTAGTTGAAGTTACACATGAACACCGTTGGATTGACTCATAATCTCAACTGTTGAAATTAATCACACAAAGTTTAGCAAGTATATTCATACAAGATATTTGTGATACTTTTCAGTAATCTTATTCTGTTATTGAGATAATCCAGGCTACTTCAAATTGAATTAAAATTTGTACCGTTTTTACACAAGTGATTGACTGTGTGGATTTAGTAGTTCATTAAAGAAGGCGATGAGGCTTTCAGAACGATCATTAATGGGTTTGAGTCTTGGAGTGAATGTCAATTTTGAATAGAACTAGTTTAGCTTAGAAATAAATAATTGCCAACTACCGAATTGTTCGTAAGTATTATTGACAAGTACTATTACGCGAATAGGTGGAGTACCATTTAACGTCAAGGTTTACTAAATGGTTTTCTCAATCCAGTTTGAAATGTTATTGTAATACACTTACAAACAATGTTCCACCTTAAATAGAGCTTAAAATCTCTTTATCTTGCTTTAAACATGCTACGATGGAGTTTTTAAGTGAAAAATCATAAGATAATCACTTTCAACTCCAGTTAAGTTTTACAATATACCACTAACCATTCACTTGCTATTGTTTGCTTGTATCCCGGACTGAACATCATCTCTAGGAGGGAGGAACATCCAGCTGACGAGTCCCAAATAGGACTAAACGTGAGTCAAACTGGATTCCTGTGCTAACCACTATCCATCTTTGCTTATACCACTAACCATGTTAAATATTATCACCGATAAGCAACTATCACACTCTCTATATTAGGTAAACGTTATATATGTAATTACAGGTAAATGAAATATAGTTTAATTATCAGTAGTGGTATTATACTGTGATATTTTATATTTCGGATAAATAAACTCAATAATTGTATTGAGTTTTTATAAAGTATTTACATTAGAAATCCGACCAAACTCAGTGAGTACTATGTACATAGCCTGTTGTAAATTATTCTTACACCATGCATACCAATTTCTTTTATCAAGATTGTGCCATTTTCCCAGGTTTTTGTCATGACATGAGATATCGTTACTTTCAAGATTAACTACTACTACTACTACTACTACTACTACTACTACTACTACTACTACTACTACTACTACTACTACTACTACTACTACTACTACTACTACTACTACTACTACTACTACTACTACTACTACTACTACTACTACTACTACTACTACTACTACTACTACTACTACTACTACTACTACTACTACTACTACTACTACTACTACTACTACTACTACTACTACTACTACTACTACTACTACTACTACTACTACTACTACTACTACTACTACTACTACTACTACTACTACTACTACTACTACTACTACTACTACTACTACTACTACTACTACTACTACTACTACTACTACTACTACTACTACTACTACTACTACTACTACTACTACTACTACTACTACTACTACTACTACTACTACTACTACTACTACTACTACTACTACTACTACTACTACTACTACTACTACTACTACTACTACTACTACTACTACTACTACTACTACTACTACTACTACTACTACTACTACTACTACTACTACTACTACTACTACTACTACTACTACTACTACTACTACTACTACTACTACTACTACTACTACTACTACTACTACTACTACTACTACTACTACTACTACTACTACTACTACTACTACTACTACTACTACTACTACTACTACTACTACTACTACTACTACTACTACTACTACTACTACTACTACTACTACTACTACTACTACTACTACTACTACTACTACTACTACTACTACTACTACTACTACTACTACTACTACTACTACTACTACTACTACTACTACTACTACTACTACTACTACTACTACTACTACTACTACTACTACTACTACTACTACTACTACTACTACTACTACTACTACTACTACTACTACTACTACTACTACTACTACTACTACTACTACTACTACTACTACTACTACTACTACTACTACTACTACTACTACTACTACTACTACTACTACTACTACTACTACTACTACTACTACTACTACTACTACTACTACTACTACTACTACTACTACTACTACTACTACTACTACTACTACTACTACTACTACTACTACTACTACTACTACTACTACTACTACTGCATATAGCTGATAGTGATTTCACTCCTTAACTACTTAAATGTTTAAGTAGTATGGTTTACTGACTGCAAAACTTTTAAATATTATTCCATTTAAATACTTGAAGAAAATACTCATAGTCTTAAAAAATATATACACTAGAATAACACAATAAGTAAAGATAGATAGTGGCTAACAGTGGAATCTAGTTTGGTGCACGTTTTATTCCATTTAGAACTCGTCAACTGGATGTACCTGCATCTCTCGAAGTTGATGTTCACTCCAAGACTCGAACCCAGCACCATTCGCTTCAAACACTATCACGTTATCCGCTTAGTTAATGAATCCAGTAATCCACTCGAGAATTTAGAAATTCACTATGTATTGTTTTAGTTGAATCTTCCCATTGATATTCAAGGCTGCAATTGATCAATCTATTATTGGTATATGTGCATCACATGCGTATTGTCTTCATTCACAAGTAATTCAAAACATAAATTTTTTGAAATAATTGACAAAGTGATGTATTTAAACAAAAGAAATTCAAGGTTATCATTAAACTGTTACATTATTATTATTATTATCATACTGCACTGAATTCAAACATAAGATCGATGTTCCAATAATGGTTTCACTTTATCCATATGAACTTGATCACAATCCATTCCATCATCATAAAGATTCGTCAAAGAGTTTGGCATTGAATGATTACAATATTGTGTTGATAATTTATTATATGAACAAAATAATGAATTAGGTATTGAATCATGTAAATTTATATTAGATTGTTTATGATATTCATATTTGACAGGTTTTATATAAAGTGAATTTTGTTTGTTGCTATGCAGATTTGTTGGATATTGTTTCAGTGATGAATTCAAATCATGTTGATGTAAATGATGATCACAATGATTATGATCATAATCATGATGATAATGATTTGTATTATCATATGGTGTTTCTATATCGGTTTCATTTTGAATTTCTGTATTAGTTTCTTCATTATGTAACTTATGAAAATGACAATTTGATATGTATCTTTCAGTAGTTGAATCTTCTGATAGATCATTTATATTCTTGTTATGATTTTCTAACTGATTTATTAAACGAGAGCTACTATCATGATATTGTTTGAAATTATTCCCAGTGTCGTCATGGTGCTGCTGCTGCTGATGATGATGAGGATGAGGATGAGGGGGAGGAGGATGTTGATGTGAAGGTGGCTTTTTTGTCATTTTCCCATGTACATTTTGTATAGAATCATTTGGTAAGTTTGAATTAGTCGGTGTAATAATTCTTGATCTTGATTGTCTTGTATTTAATGATAATAGGGTAGTTTTAAGTAGTTTAGGTGTATTAAATTTTAATAATCCATAAAAATTCTGTCTAAACTCTTGACAGAATCCAATACATATAGGCATTAATAAAGCCGCTATTAAATCACCTAATTCAATACCAATTACTTTAGCGGATAACATTAGAAAAAATCTTTGCCATGTGTTATCTTTTAAAACCTTTTAAAAAGGAATATCAAATGTAAAAAACAATTATGTTTTGTTTTAGTAGCATATTGTAAAACCTTTAAAAAAACTTTAATTTAACTTCGAAATTGATCATTAGTAACAAAGAGGTACCAAATAGATATACACTACATAAATCAATCGATTTGTGTAAGAGTTCAGATACTGCCTGCGTGTTCAAACAGAAGTAGGTGGTTTTCTTAGAGAGCTACTCCTGGAACTTTTAACTTAAACGTTTAATTCAAAAGGCAGTGAAACAACATAAGGAGATGCAGTCCAATAGTAGCCGGTGACTAATAATTGGTTCATACGCCATTTGTTTCCTTGGGATCCTAAAGCCCATATGCACTACCGGTTTGCGATCGGGGTTTTCCAACTTCTTTAGTTGGATCCTCCATATTCACCAACCAGGTTAAAGAGCCAGATATTTCACCTTTCGTTGTCTCAGTTCCGTAAACACCAGTAATGCGGCGAGAAGGTAGGGAGTAGATCTTCCCTGTCAGTGGTTGTATGCACGTGGCTATATGAGAGCATTTCGAGAGGAAGAGTTGACTCTCCCCACTCTCGAGTGTACAAGGGCATTTGCAAATAAGCTTATTTTATACAAATATTTGTCAAGATTAGAATGAATAGTTTGATCAAAAAAATTGGGTGTCAAATATAGAGAAGTCATGATATGTGAAAAAATATATATTTGAAATAATCTTAGCGATTGAAATTTCGTACAACAAACGTGTTTAGACTTCTTCAGGGTAATGATTTGGTTGTTAAACGCCATATATATTTCTTTGATGATCTCGATCTCGATTATTACCCTGAAGAAGTTCAGACAAGTTTGCTGGACGAAACGTTGGAATTATTATAAATTTCAATCACTTAGACGTTTGAAGAGAACGGTGCTGGGTTCGAGTCCCAGAGTGAAGTCAACTCTGGGGGGCAGGTACATCAGTCTGACGAGTCCCAAATAGGAAGAAACGTGAATCAAACTGGATTCCACTGCTAGCTACTATCCATCTTTGTTTACAGAGCTTGTGATGTACTCTACTTGAATTCATGAGTCAATTAAAGCTAGACCATCACGGAAAACCTGGAAGCACGGGACGGCTGTTTTGTCCTAGTATGGGGCTCATCAGCAGTGCACATCCACGTTCTCACTCGCAGGATTCGATCCTAGGATCTATCAATCTTGAGCGTTAACGTTTAACCTTAGACCACTGAACTGGCCAGCACACAACGGTGTTAATGTCTAACTTCAATCGATACATGATCTTACACAACTCTGCATCCATTGTCTGAGGTGGACAACTGTCACACCCGACTTTTCCATCCGAACAGAGATTGCAAACAATTTTAGTTGTAATAGTGCCACTACTACTACTACTACTGTAGCGAACAAGAACACCAGTGGAGACAATCGAATGTACTTAACACAAAATTACAGGACTTGTTCATAAAATCTAACAATCATAAAGTAAATGCTTAATTTGCAAAATGTCCATCAACTGTCTCATAATGACTCAGACTCCATTGTTCTTGTATTTTCATACAAATTGCATTTTGTTTCCATTCTTTACTGTTCAACCCTCTTGTCTCTCTGCTGCCAGACATTCTGTTCACGACTAACATCATCTACGTCAATATAAGTAGAACACACCACACTACTACTACTACTAATAATAATAATAATAGTAGTAGTACTAATACGACCAGTAGTTAGTGGTAATGGTATTGTGTTGTGTGTTACTGATGTCAATAGATATAAGTACTATGTGTCATCAATCAAATATGAAATGTTTCGAAGCAGAAGGTTAAGATCAAAGAAAAGAGAACGAGAACAAAGAGTTATTGGTGTGGAAAAGAAAAAAACAATAAAGTCTCAGACGATTAACTGACATAAAGTATTTACTGTATGGTTCTGTAATTTTGTATTCAATTACATTTGATTGTTCCCATTTTTATTCTCATTCATTACAATATGTCTATTATCTATTTCTATCTATTCTCTTGTTGGTTGTAAACATAGTTAATTAGTGATTTACTATCTATGTACACATTTTGATTGATGTTCGATAAACACTGTACATATTCTATTCCTATGTATGGTCTAATTTTTAATGTTAAACTAATTCACTACTAATAAAAATCGAATCCAATCCAACTTATATTTTTGATTGCTGAATCTATTGAATGAAAATAAATGTAATTACACTTGAAGAATCAGCTTAAATGTATAATACATTATATGGGAAGATACAAGCTAAACAATACCAAGTGAATATAACTTCAACCCATTGCACAGGCAGGTGGCTATCAGGACTCAGTAGCTGAGTGTATAACACGATGGCGCTTGAAGTGAATAGTACTGGGTTCTAGTCCCAGAGTGAACATCAACTCTGAGATGCAAGTACACCCAGCTGACGAGTCCCAAATAGGACGAAACGTGCGTCCTAGGTTCCACTGCTAGCCACTATCCATCATTGCTTACAAACAGCTTTTGAATTAAGGCAATATCGAGGCATACGCACAGTATGCACATATGTCGATAACAGACTGATCAATTGTAGTCTTACACCTCAATGAGAAGATACAAGCCAAACAATACCAAGTGAATTTGTATTCCATTTAGTTGTTCAGATTGATTATACTTAAAGTCAATGAAACAGTAATTACATGATATATTTTTCTTTATTAATTTTCTATTTCATTTACCTCAGAATCTGTTAAATTCATGTCTCCTGGTCTTGTTAATGGATCAATCATAGTAAATAATGCATTAGGTAATCGACATAATCCTTGTATTATATTTATTATAGCTATATGTAATACTTCAAATTGATTTCTTCTTGTTATTGTTGCACGACTTTCAGCATATCTTGGACGTATAATAATATCATCCATAAAATAATTACGTATAATTGCTAGCCCTAAACATATATTAATTAATGCAAATGTACAATCAATAATAATTCCAGTTATCCATTGATAATCAAAATAACTAGCTGCAAGTTCTTTAGTTTTTTTAGTGATATCCATTTCTGTAAAAATATCATAACGATGTATTGATTTCATACTAAACCAATATTGAAATCCACCAGCAACTTCACATCTTGCCAATGGTTCTAATGATTTCAATAATGTTAATGATGATGATGATAATGAACTCAATTGATTAGCTGAATGTATTATCTCATATTCAACATTATAATATTGTATACGCCAATAGGCTATTTCAATTAAACCATATATTCCAGCTAATAGAATAACACCAATTGAAATACGAATTGATTTTCGATGATTTCCATCCGCTATAATCCAACGTAATATAATATTTGAAGGAAAATTTGTTTCTCTTTGTAATAATACAAGTGTTTCAATACCTAATGTTATAGTTATTAATACAATAGCTAAACGATTTCCTGTCCATATACAATGTATAAATGGACAAATTAAACTATTCAATGCTAATAATCCAGTATCCCATGGTGTATCTAAATCCATTATAATCACTAATATA